ATATATATATATATATATATACAGGAAAGCAAAAATAGGATTCCTGCTTCCTATTTTTAAAAAAAAGAAGGAAATGCAAAAGATCAAAACACTGGTTAACTGCTTTAGTAGCCCATTCTCGGCGGTCATTAAATTTCAGAAACAATTTGTTGATGATGTGATCGTCAATGTCAAGAAGCAAACTGAAGAGCTGGACCGTCATAATCGTGAGCGGCGCAACCGAGAAGTACGGCTGCATCTCGATCACCTAGAGGAAGAGTATCTTTGTTGTGTCTGCGGCAGGCCGGGTGAGGAACGGGAAACAGAGGACCTAGTTCCTGATGAATTCAGCATCGTACATATGCCAAGCAAGGATCAAATCGAGCAGGCAATCATCGCCTATGGTCGGTCAGGGGACAATGTGGGCTGGGGTGAGGGCGCGGAGACTCTCCGCGCATTAGGACCACAGGTCTACGCACTTTTAGGCGTTCTCTCAGCATCTGAGATGGATACACGCAAGATGGTGGCCAAGGTTCAGCATGCTCTTCTAAATCAAGAGGCCGCGGAGAAACAAAAACGCAAAAAGTCATCTCACAGAGACAAAGGACTTATGAAGATTGAGGAGTCCGATATTGATATGTTTCAGCAGTTTTTTAAGCGACCTGTTCACGGTTACCTCTGCCGGGATTGTCATATTTCAGCAAAGAAGAGGCTTGATGCCCTCACAAACCAAATCCAGGGCATCTTGTACAGGGGGAAAACCCCGTTGCTTCGCAACAAAAATATGACCCGGGCTCAGGTCCAAGACGGCACAGCACCTGCAACGTTGAACATAACAGCTCCGTCGAGCTTGGTAGTTAGTGCGACGGATGGAAGCTCTGCATGTCTCTCTGATGCGACCATAATATGCCTTAGGTCAATTGTTCGATGCGCTGTTTGCAAGCGACGACAGGCATCTTTTTTTGTACGACAAAGTGTTATGTTTCTTTGTCAGTTTTGCTGCGCAAGAGACCGCTTTTACCGCGACAGCGCGGTTTGCATCAACGATGAGCTCATGCCAAGAGAGACCGCCCACTTGCTTCAAAGCCTGGCATCTCACTACGAAAAGGTGAGGAGTGAGGAAGAAGTCAACGCACTGCCTCCCGCCCAGGCTGACGCGTCCCGTGTCGACCTTTTCTCAGAGCACAATGCCTTTGACCTCTTCGCAGCTCAGGCACCGCCGTATTCCAGAATAAACGTAACACCAGCACTCCCGACCGTTTCATCCCCTTCTGAGCGAAGGGTTGTTGCGGGTAATACGTCGGTTTCGCTCTTTGCCGGAAAAAAAATTCACTGGAACCTGCTTCACTTTGGTGTGTTGTAGGTCGTTGTCCTGTTGTGGATGCCACGCACCCGCCGGTTTCGCCGGAGTTTCCTGCTCCGCGGGGCACTTCAGTTGGCGAAGGCACCGCGACTAACATCGCATTTGTCAAGTCCTCTTAATTTTGTTTATGTAAACGGGAGAGACCCCCCCCCCCNAAAAAAAAAAAAAAAAAAAAAAAACAACAACAACAGCGAAAAACAAGAGAAAATGCAGATAACAGAAACAGAGTGGTGTAGTACAACACACTGTGCGGCGTTGTCTTGTATTTTTAGCTACAGTGAAGTGTGATGTGCGCAATTAGTTGCAATGTTCAGTACCGTCATGATGTGGACGGTGTGACGGTGTAGGAGTGACCGCCCTGGAGCCTAATGGTGTCACTTCACCCCCGCGTTTCTTCTCCCTTATCCAAATGAAGAGGGAGCATAAGGAAAATACAAACAACAGTGACATCAGTAAAACACACACAGATTAGAAGAGGATACACATCATTGCTGACACCACTGAGGGCAATCGTGTGTTATTGGGCAGTGGTTTGTGGTGTCCATGTGTATCAACCACAGAGATACACNCATCATTGCTGACACCACTGAGGGCAATCGTGTGTTATTGGGCAGTGGTTTGTGGTGTCCATGTGTATCAACCACAGAGATACACAGACTGAAAGGAAAACAATACCATAATAGGGGGACGGTACATCTGCCAGCACGGTTCACATCGGGTGGTGTGTTCAAGCCCACCTTTGTTACAATAGCGCCGCGTGGTGTGGCTGGCGACGGTACAGGTGGTAAAGCTCTGAGCAACGCGGGTGCTGCGAGGTCGGTGCAATGGACTCTCAACAGTACAGTGGAGGAAGTTCTGCTACAAGGAAATCTTCCTCCAGTGAACATGAAGCTGAATGACTTTCTTCTTGGGCATCTTGGTGGTAGAGGTGTAGAGGACGTGAATGGGGATGTCAGTATGGAAGCGTTTGTCGTGGAGCCTGGTATGTTCATCACTGACAATAGGCTGTTGAACGTCATACTTGCGATGTCGCCATTCAAAGCAATAGTAGAGGAAATGAGATACAGGGAAGCACAGAGGGAAGCACAGAGGGAAGCACAGAGGGAAGCACAGAGGGAAGCTGTACACAAACTCAAAGAGACTGGTGTGTATTCTCTCCAGCAGTGGGACGTGTATGATAAAAAGGAACACGTTATCCCTTTGGTGGGAGGAATGTTAAATGCAGCCCTCAGCGTTGCGAAGAATGAATCACCGTTATTGAATGGTGAAGTGATGATGGGGGTCTACGAGTCTGTATTGAATGCTACATGGAGCCATGTGGTGAAAGTCCCTGGTGACAGTGAAGGAGTCGGAATGGAGGTCAGGAAAGGCAAGCCGTCGAGGGAATGGACAGACAGCGAGGTGGGCTATCTTCTTCCTGGTGGTGCAAGTAATGGGGAGAACAAAGAGAGCACCAGTGCAGAGGGGGTGGCGGATCCGCAGGAAACACGTGTTGAGTTGATGGTGCTCAATTCTGAAAAAGGCTGGCCGTACACGTGGAGAAGGGCAAAAACTATGTGCGATTGCCACATCGGCCGCGAGACGGAACGTGTTTGGCGCATCATTAAGCGTGATGTAGACGAATGGTTTGCGTGTCGTGGTGGAGATGATGCGGGACCGGAAAAGCGTCTTTTGATTGGGACACCTGGTATAGGGAAATCAATGGGAGCTGGCTCGTATCTCCTGTATCAACTGCTGCACTATGACAAGGAACGACTTCCTTTTGTTGCATACTTCATTAAAGATTGCGTGTTTATCTTTGACAAAACCAGAGGTGAAGCACAAGGACGCGTGGAGTACTACGATAACCTCGAAGAGGGAAGGCGTGCTGTGTTACGTCTCTCTCATACTGTGAGGGGATACATAATCTACGATGTGGCAAAGCAAGGAAGTGAACCGTCAGTGGATCTACCTCCAAAAGGATGGGGCATGTTTGTTTTGAGCTCTCCAAACAAGGACAACTTCAAGGGTTGGGAGAAGCAAAGAAGAGGAATGCGTATCATAATGAATTGCCCTGAGACGAGTGAACTAAGGGCGAGGTTTGTGTGGATTAACCGCGATGAACCAGAGGAAGTGAAGCAGGCAGAATGGAAGGTTGTGGAAGAGCGTATAGAGCATTTAGGACCACTTCCCCGCCACATTTTTACTCAAGGTGCTTTCAGTAAGCGTGTCGGCAAGGTTGAATGGGCGTTGAATGAAATCACCCAAACAAACGCTGAGACGTACAGGAGGTTAAATAGTAGCACTGTCTCGCAAGGGGGGGGGG